CGCTGTCCTCAGAGTGAGGAACGCTTTACTCAGAGTGAGGAACGCTGTCCGCAGAGTGAGGAACGCTGTCCTCAGAGTGAGGAATGCTGTCCTCAGAGTGAGGAACGCTGTCCTCAGAATGAGGAACGTTATCCTCAGAGTGAGGAACGCTGTTCTCAGTGTGAGGAACGCTGTCCTCAGAGTGAGGAACGCTGTCCTCAGAGTGAGGAACGCCTACCTCGGAGTGAGGAACGCTTTCCTCAGAGTGAGGAACGCTGTCCTCAGAGTGAGGAACACTGACCTCAGGGTGAGCAACGCTGACCTCAGAGTGAGGAACGCTGTCCTCAGAGTGAGGAACGCTGTCCTTAGTTTGAGGAACGCTGTCCTCAGAGTGAGGAACGCTGTCCTCAGAGTGAGGAACGCTTTCCTCAGAGTGAGGAATGCTGTCCTCAGAGTGAGGAACGCCGTCCTCAGAGTGAGCAACGCTGTCCTCAGAGTGAGGAACGCTGTCCTCAGAGTGAGGAACGCTGTCCTCAGAATGAGGAACGCTGTCCTCAGAGTGAGGAACGCTGTCCTCAGATTGAGGAACGCTGTCCTCAGAGTGACGAACGCTGTCCTCAGAGTGAGGAACGCTGTCCTCAGAGTGAGGAACGCTGCCACAGAGTGAGGAACGCTGTCCTCAGAGTGAGGAACGCTGTCCTCAGATTGAGGAACGCTGTCCTCAGAGTGAGGAACGCTGTCCTCAGAGTGAGGAACGCTGTCCTCAGAGTGAGGAACGCTTTCCTCAGAGTGAGGAACGCCGTCCTCAGAGTGAGGAACGCTGTCCTCAGAGTGAGGAACGCCGTCCTCAGATTGAGGAACGCTTTAGTCAGAATGAGTAATGCTGTCCTCGGAGTGAGGAACGCTGTCCTCAGAGTGAGGAACGCTGTCCTCAGAGTGAGGAACGCTGTCCTCAGAGTGAGGAACGCTGTCCTCAGAGTGAGGAACGCTGTCCTCAGAGTGAGGAACGCTGTCCTCAGAGTGAGGAACGCTGTCCCCAGAGTGAGGAACGCTGTCCTCAGAGTGAGGAACGCTGTCCTCAGAGTGAGGAACGCTGTCCTCAGAGTGAGGAACGCCGTCCTCAGTGTGAGGAACGCTGTCCTCAGAGTGAGGAACGCTGTCCTCAGAGTGAGGAACGCTGTCCTCAGAGTGAGGAACGCTGTCGTCAGAGTGAGGAACGCTGTCCTCAGAGTGAGGAACGCTTTACTCAGAGTGAAGAACGCTTTACTCTGAGTGAGGAACGCTGTCCCGAAAGTGAGGAACGCTGTCCTCAGAGGGAGGAACGCTGTCCTCAGAGTGAGGAACGCTGTCCTCAGAGTGAAGAACGCTGTCCTCAGAGTGAGGAACGCTGTCCTCAGAGTGAGGAACGCTGTCCTCAGAGTGAGGAACGTTGTCCTCAGAGTGAGGAACGCTGTCCTCAGTGTGAGGAACGCCGTCCACAGAGTGAGGAACGCCGTCCTCAGAGTGAGGAACGTTGTCCTCAGAGTGAGGAACGCTGTCCTCAGAGTGAGGAACGCTGTCCTCAGAGTGAGGAACACTGTCCTCAGAGTGAGGAACGCTTTACTCAGAATGAGGAACGCTGTCCTCAGAGTGAGGAACACTGTCCTCAGAGTAAGGAACGCTGTCCTCAGAGTGAGGAACGCTGTCCTCACTGTGAGGAACGCTGTCCTCAGAGTGAGAAACGCTGTCCTCAGAGTGAGGAACGCTGTCCTCAGAGTGAGGAACGCTGTCCTCAGAGTGAGGAACGCTGTCCTCAGAGTGAGGAACGCTGTCCTCAGAGTGAGGAACGCCGTCCTCAGAGTGAGGAACGCTGTCCTCAGAGTGAGGAACGCTGTCCTCAGAGTGAGGAACGCTGCCCTCAGAATGAGGAACGCCTTACTCAGAGTGAGGAACGCTTTACTCAGAATGAGGAACGCTGTCCTCAGAATGAGGAACGCTGTCCTCAGAGTGAGGAACGCTGTCCTCAGAGTGAAGAACGCTGTCCTCAGAGTGAGGAACGCTGTCCTCAGAGTGAGGAACGCTGTCCTCAGAGTGAGGAACGCTGTCCTCAGAGTGAGGAACGCTGTCCGCAGAGTGAGGAACGCTGTCCTCAGAGTGAGGAACGCTGTCATCAGAGTGAGGAACGCTGTCGTCAGAGTGAGGAACGCTGTCCTCAGAGTGAGGAAAACTGTCCTCATAGTGAGGAACGCTGTCCTCAGAGTGAGGAACGCTGTCCTCAGAGTGAGGAACGCTGTCCTCAGAGTGAGGAACGCTGTCCTCAGAGTGAGGAACGCTGTCCTCAGAGTGAGGAACGCTGTCCTCAGAGTGAGGAACGCTGTCCTCAGAGTGAGGTACGCTGTCCTCAGAGTGAGGTACGCTGTCCTCAGAGTGAGGAACGTTGTCCTCGGAGTGAGGAACGCTGTCCTCGGAGTGAGGAACGCTGTCCTCACAGTGAGGAACGCTGTCCTCAGAGTGAGGAACGCTGTCCTCAGAGTGAGGAACGCTGTCCTCAGAGTGAGGAACGCTGTCCTCAGAGTGAGGAACGCTGCCATCAGAATGAGGAACGCCTTACTCAGAGTGAGGAACGCTTTACTCAGAGTGAGGAACGCCTTACTCAGAATGAGGAACGCCTTACTCAGAGTGAGGAACGCTGTCCTCAGAGTGAGGAACGCTGTCCTTAGTTTGAGGAACGCTGTCCTCAGAGTGAGGAACGCTGTCCTCAGAGTGAGGAACGCTTTCCTCAGAGTGAGGAATGCTGTCCTCAGAGTGAGGAACGACGTCCTCAGAGTAAGCAACGCTGTCCTCAGAGTGAGGAACGCTGTCCTCAGAGTGAGGAACGCTGTCCTCAGAATGAGGAACGCTGTCCTCAGAGTGAGGAGGGCTGTCCTCAGATTGAGGAACGCTGTCCTCAGAGTGAGGAACGCTGTCCTCAGAGTGAGGAACGCTGTCCTCAGAGAAAGGAACGCTGCCACAGAGTGAGGAACGCTGTCCTCAGAGTGAGGAACGCTGTCCTCAGAGTGAGGAACGCTGTCCTCAGAGTGAGGAACGCTGCCCTCAGAATGAGGAACGCCTTACTCAGAGTGAGGAACGCTTTACTCAGAGTGAGGAACGCCTTACTCAGAATGAGGAACGCCTTACTCAGAGTGAGGAACGCTGTCCTCAGAGTGAGGAACGCTGTCCTTAGTTTGAGGAACGCTGTCCTCAGAGTGAGGAACGCTGTCCTCAGAGTGAGGAACGCTTTCCTCAGAGTGAGGAATGCTGTCCTCAGAGTGAGGAACGCCGTCCTCAGAGTAAGCAACGCTGTCCTCAGAGTGAGGAACGCTGTTTTCAGAGCGAGGAACGCTGTCCTCAGAATGAGGAACGCTGTCCTCAGAGTGAGGAACGCTGTCCTCAGATTGAGGAACGCTGTCCTCAGAGTGAGGAACGCTGTCCTCAGAGTGAGGAACGCTGTCCTCATAGTGAGGCACGCTGTCCTCAGAGTGAGGAACGCTGTCCTCAGAGTGAGGAACGCTGTCCTCAGAGTGAGGAACGCTGTCCTCAGAGTGAAGAACGCTGTCCTCAGAATGAGGAACGCTGTCCTCAAGTGAGGAACGCTGTCCTCAGAGTGAGGAACGCTGTCCTCAGAGTGAGGAACGCTGTCCTCAGAGTGAGGAACGCTGTCCTCAGAGTGAGGAACGCCGTCCTCAGATTGATGAACGCTGTCCTCAGAGTGAGAAACGCCGTCCTCAGAGTGAGGAACGCTGTCCTCAGAGTGAGGAACGCTGTCCTCAGAGTGAGGAACGCTTTCCTCAGAGTGAGGAACGCTTTCTTCAGAGTGAGGAACGCTGTCCTCAGTGTGAGGAACGCTGTCCTCAGTGCGAGGAACGCTGTCCCCAGAGTGAGGAACCCTGTCCCCAGAGTGAGGAACGCTGTCCCCAGAGTGATGTACGCTGTCCTCAGAGTGAGGAACGCTGTCCTCAGAGTGAGGAACGCTGTCCTCAGAGTGAGAAACGCTGTCCTCAGAGTGAGGAACGCTATCCTCAGAGTGAGGAACGCTATCCTCAGAGAGAGGAACGCTGATGATGATGATGATAAACTTTATTTAACCACGCTAACATTGTCAGCAGAAGCTGGTTTCCACAATGGGCGTGTAAGAAACATTAACAAATTGTTACAAGTAAAATAATAAGGAAGTATTAACATGCAGAATATAAAATTATTAAAATATATACAAAAAGTTTGCTATTTACAATGATGTGGTTTTCTTTATAAGCTATAGGTAGCGATTTTTCTTTTAAAACTTGAGAGCGAATTACTTTCTCTTACATTTTTTGGAAGAGAGTTCCATATGGTAGCTCCATCATACATGAAACTCTTTTTCATATTGTTTGTGTTTGGCTTGGGCAAACGTATGGTACTTGAGCTGTTACGAAGACTGCGGTTTAATATTTCTTTTTTGAAAGTAAATAATTCTTTGAGACAATTTGGCCCCATGTTATTGAACGTTTTAAACATTATTTTTGCCTTTGCTTTCACTCTTTGTTCCTTGACTGGTTCCCATCCTAATATATTTAGCACAGTTTGTTGATCTACCTCATTACGCACACATGCTATTACACGGGCAGCTTTGTTATGAAGTTATTGGAGACGCGTGGATTGCGTTTCACCAAATATATTCCAAACTTGACAACTGTAGCTAAAGTAGGGTTGAATTATAGCATTGTATACGGAAACGAGTGTTTTTTTATCAACATATTCTTTAATGCTTTTGAGAGCGTATATTCCAGATGATACCTTTTTACATATAGTATCTGTATTGCTCTTCCAACACAAATTTTCATCAACAGAATTTAAAGTTGCTGAACAGAAGCTTTTTTCAGCATCTGTTTAGTACCAATAATTTGAAATTCAGTTTTTGCCACATTCAAGCTCAGTTTGTTTGCCATGAGCCATTTACGAAGCATTTCTAAATCTGAGTTTACTGCATCTTCAAGATCACTTAAGCATTCTCCAGCTGCTGTGATATTTGTATCATCAGCAAACGGCCGTGGTTTTGTTTTACTCAGACATGCAGGTAGATCATTAATATAGAGTAAGAAGAATAGTGGCCCCAATATAGACCCGTGGGGTACACCACATTTGACGTCATTTCCCCCTGAAATAGATCCATTGACTTCACATCTTTGAGTACGACCAGTTAAGTATGATTTGAGTAATAGAAATGCACTTCCTGTGATTCCAACTAGTTTTAGTTTTTGCAATAAGATCTCATGGTCAACAGTATCAAATTAAGGTTTATTTAGGTCTACAAATACAACCAAATTAAAAAGTTTTCTATCCATGTTTATGTACCGATCATTTGTGCAATCAAGTAAAGCTGTTGCAGTTGAATGAAATTTTCTGAAACCAAATGATGCTCAGAAAGTATGTCATTTGCACTCAAATATTCATAAAGTTGAGTATATAGGATACGTTCCATAATTTTACTAATGGCTGGCAACACAGAAATTGGTCGATAATTTCCTGGCAAGTTTCGTTTGCCATTCTTAAAAAGGGGAATTACCCTTGCAATTTTCCATTCATGTGGAAAAGTACATAAAGTTATTGCTTGATTAAAGATGTAAGTCAATGAATCGGAAATTAATGGTGCAGCAATTTTGATTATCTTGCTGGATATTTTATCCAGGCCAGTAGCTTTGCTACCAGACAGTTCACGTAATAAAAGACAAACATGACTAACAGTAACTGACTGGAATGCAGTAAATTCAGAATTAGTTTTGTCAAGGAAGTCTTTAGAATGACATCCTGGTGTACTAATTTCTTCGGCTAAATCCGGTCCAATATTTGAAAAGAAGGTATTGAAGCCCTCAGAAATTTCATCAGGGCTTGTTAATTTTATGCCATTTAAGTTTAATTCGTTTACTTTAGTTCTTTGATTTTGTTTACCAAGTAAGGTATTAATTGTCTTCCAAGCAGCTTTTGGATCTTGCTTTTCAGTCGCTATTTTATTGGAATAATATTCCTTTTTGGTTTGTCTTAGAAGATTGTTTGTTTCATTTCTGGCTTTTTTATAGTTATCCCAATCTGTTTCAAGTTTAGTGATAATTGCTTTTCTTTTCAAATTATCTCTTGCAATTATTAGTTTTTTTTATATGACTAGTAATCCAAGGATTTTTTTTAGATTTTGTTTTTTTGTTTTGAATTGGGGCATGTTTATCTAGGACTTGTAAGAAAAGTTGTTTCCAAATTTCCCACATAGTGTCAGGATTGTCTGCAAAAAAATAGACATGTTCCCATGTTTGAGTTCCTAGGTCTTGTAAAAACTGCTGTTCATTGAATTTTTTCATATTTCTAATTTCAATTATGTTATCATTATCTTTGTGTCGAATGTTAATCTTTCTTATGCCATAAATGAGACTGTGGTCACTAATTCCAGTATGTATTACACCACATTTGGATATTTTTCCTGGTTCATTGGTAATAAAATGATCAATAAGTGTGGAGGATGTCCTAGTGATCCGTGTGGCTTTATCAATTATCTGGGATAATTGATAAATTTCGAGTAAAGATTTAAGTGTCTTAGTTGGATGGTCAGGAATAGACTTAAAAAGGTCGCAGTTAAGATCACCCAGTATATAGATTTCCTTGTTTTCATTATCAATCTTTTTTAATAGGTTTTCAAGATGGATAAAAAAATTCGATGAAGCATCTGGGGGTCTATAAACCGTAACAACCACAAATGGTCTGCTATGCGGTTTAGTTATCTCTATGCATATAGCTTCTAGATCGGCTGGTATAAGATCTTGTCTGATTTGGTAGTTTATAGAATTACGTAGATAAATGCAAACACCACCACCATTTCTAGACCTATCTTTTCTTATAATGTCATACCCATCTATATGAATCATACCATCAGTTATGGTTGAATTAAGTCTGGTCTCACTAAATGACATTATATCGAGTAATTTGTTTGACATAGTTAAGTTAATTTCATCAAATCTTTTTGGCAAGCTTACTGTATTTAAAAAAGCCATTTTAAATCCACGCTGATTGGGAAGACAATTAATTTTATCCGAAAAATCGTTACCCATTTCTGTTTCATTATGTATTTGACTATGTTCTATTTTATTATGTAATAATGGATTACTTTCTACTGTTGTATCATTTTTGCAACGTGTGCTAGATACGTTAGGCATGTTGTCCAGTCCTTTGGGCGACTCGATTGCCGCCTGCCTTGCCGAAAAAACTTACTACTATCATAGGTGGTCTTTCCAGATCTTATTGATCTTAAGTATGTACACAAAGTTTTTCCAAATGCTTTATCACCTGTATAGTTTAGGTGAAGATTTGATCTGTTTAACATGGACTGATCAATGTTACTATTGTCAATAAATGTTATATTGTGCTTTTTGCATAATTCATGCACTAGATTGTTATATTCCGTTATTTTAGAATGAGGAACCTTATTGTCATACATCTTTATTTACCTGGCTTGCCCCAAGGTTCGGTGTTAGCCCCTATACTTTTTTTGATATTCATAAATGACCTCCCCGAAGCGATACCCCACCCCTCTATTGTGGACATATCTGGCCGGATTCACAGAGTCTGGGCGATAACCTATGTAGAAGCACTTTGAACCTGGAGCACTGGACAGAGAATCTAAGTTTCAATGATCACATCGACGCGCTATGCAAAAAACTGACCAAGAGGATCGGTCTATTAAATTCCATAATACATAATTTACCAAATAGAGAACGAATCCAATTTTATGATGCTATAATTAAACCATTGTTCATGTATGGTGGTTTGGTTTTTGTCGATGACCAGTCAAGAAAATCTTGTTAGATTGTTTGAACTTCAAAAACGTACAGCAAGAGTCATCTTAAATATCAAGTTAAGAGAAGAGAGAACCATGACTTTGTTTAAAAAACTGAAATGGATACCTTTCACTGATGAACTCAAAAAAATATATAAGGTTGTAATGTGTTTTACCCTCGTTAAATAAAGTTGCTACTACTACTACTACTATAGCAGCCATCTTTACAATAATATTCGCTTATCGCACAGAATAACACCAACTGATATAATAGTTCAAATGCAATGATAAGTTACCTCTTGAATTACATCTCAGAAACTGTGTTGAAAATGGAGATGCTGACCCATTCCATAAGATTACCGTTTTACATCGTTGTATAAAACATTTTGATCGCATGTATAAAGGAATTATTTCTCATCCCAGAGATATAGCCCAACGACTTAACATTGACCTCCTTGTGATTTTATAGAGATACAGCCTAAAACTACAGAACTGAGGATTTTACAAAGCGATATCGGTACCTTCCCAAAGTTGTAGACAATTAGATATGTTGCTTACGTCCAACACGCTTAAAATTACATAACTCAAAATAATTCGAGAAAAACCGTTTTTTTGTTCAATGTAGAGACTGGTTCATAGGAATTAGTCATTTTGAGTTATGCAATCGTGTGTCTTCATCCATCCGTGTCGTTGAACAATGAAAAAATTTGTTGTGAAATTAGCGAAGATAAAATAGCAGTTTGTGAGAAAACTGCGGGTCTACGGTGCGGGAAGTTTTCGGATTTGAACTCAGCGTGTTCGAAAGTGTTAGTTCCCATAAAAATATTTCAGTTCCAAGACATGCTTAATGAAAATCGTTTTCTAGGCACTTTTCGAGGTCACAGCAAACGGCCTACTATAGCAACGTTTGTATGAGCGACTGTTCATCTGTAGTTGCAAGGGACGGTAATAACAAGGTAAAGGTCAGTATCACTGGTCAGTATCACAACTATTTAATAAACTTGAAGTAAAGTTAGTAAACAATGTTATTTCCCACAAAGTTAAACAAAATTTAGCTTTTTGTGGCTTTTTGAAGGTATAAAAACCCGTGGAAACGGTGAATTACTATAATAGATTGAAAATAATTATTAAACTGTGATCTCGACTACGATTGAAATTATCGTCTTATCGAAGCAGAATACTATCTCGTTGTATTATAAAATTTCAATGGTATTAATGATTTAATATTTCATGTTATTTACAAAATGTACTGTAGTTTTGTACACAATATAATCAGTGCGAACACGGCGATGGCTTTGTTTCACTTTGAGCATATAAAAATGAGTATTTATAACGTACGGGTCTTTCACGGTATTTAATAAATTTATATAACGTCTGATATTGTAATTGTATAAAATAATCAGTGCGACCACAACGGCTCCGAAATAACAGACTATAAGGTACTATTAAAAGCAGCAAAGCTTTACCTACCTCGATATATTTTTCTAAGGCGCTAAGTTCGATAAACTTGCGTTTCTTCGACGAAAGCGTGCATATTAAAGTGTTCACATCAGATGAAAATGCTCGTCGTAAAAACTCGGTATTTGTCGTATTTTACAAATCTGTCACGTGATTTACCACCGCCCGTACACGGTACACCGCGACACGAATTTAGAGCTATATGAAAGTTGCATGCCCATATATGGGCTTGCAACAAAAATCACATTATCATGTGGTACAAATGCTGTTTTTTCATTCGAAAATTTGAATTTGAGGTACAATATATAATAATAAATAATAATAATAATAACGATTTATTGGTAGGCTAATATATCCACAGAGTGGCTCTTCGCTTACCAAATTTTATAAATTATCAGTAAAGTATTCATAAAGTCTATAAACTATTTTACGAATATTACTGCAATATAACTTTGAATATATAACGTGTTCGACAGGACAAAATATTACATACAAAAATACGAATTAACTAAGTTAGAACAAAACTGTACGAAACTATATACAATTAATATTTCTTTCTAAGATTATCCAAGTCTTGACCATGCATGCTTTCATGACTAAGAAATTCTTGGTGTCATTGTAGAATACTCTATAGTCTTTATTATATTATTGCTGCAGTTACTGGCTGTATATATATATATATATATATATATATATATATATATATATATATATATATATATATATATATATATATATATATATATATATATATATATAAGACTATATTATAAAAACGCCCTCGTCGTATATGGCTGATTCGATGCTACCCACCTTGATGGCTATTAGACAGCTTTGGCAAGGACAACATGACGTCGACGAGGACGTTAAAATAACGTCATACACTTCACGTTTGCTTCTGGTTTGAATCTGCGACTTCGTGTTCATCTCTTTTGAAGATGCGATGTGACTTCGTGTTCATCTCTTTTGAAAATCTCTTGCTTTTTTCGCCGCTTCCATATTTCTTTATCGTTTTCAATTATTTGTACACGTTTGTGCAAGAAAATGCTCTATTATAGCTACTGGGCCAGTATTTCCTAAACATTTTCTATGAACATTCAACAAGTTCTTTTTGATAAAAAGGTATATTTTGTTGTTTTTGAACAAATGAATTTTATCGCATCATACGGACGAAAACGCAAAAGCTGCAGGAACTGTTCACGAGTCAATTTTTAGTTTCTATTTGATTTATTCGATTTTCTAAGCTGTTCGATATTAATAGGCATATATGTAGTAATATAGGGATTCGCAGCCTGTATATTACTGTGCATATCAGAGTTAACATTGGTGAAAATTCAATGTTGTTTACGACTGTTTTTCCCGCCGAAAAGTGTTTTTTATTTAATTTGTCGTGTATTTTCGTACTCGTTTGAGAGGGAAATAAAATTGATCACCTTTGTACTTGTTTAAGCAGTATTGAAGTGGTCAACAGTGCTTGCAGTCCTGTTTATTTTTTTTATGGCGATGAAAGTACTCAACGCATCCAAAACTCAGCGAAATATAATAACACAAACGTTTCAATCAAAACAATATTCAGCTACAAATATTGGAGAAAATATGGGAAACAAAATGTAGTGTATGGGATTTAGTACCTTTTGGTGTATACATACATACATACATACAAAACTTTATTTAAACCACGTTAGCCTCAACAGCCGTTGGAAGGCTGGTTTCCATAAGGGGCGTGAAATTACCTATTTACAAGAAGTTAACTATATACAGGAAATACAAAATACAACAAAATAAAAAATACAAGTGATTTTAGCTGCACGATTACCCACAAGCAAGTTTCAACTTATTCTTTGTTTCAATATCGACTTGAAAGAGCTTAGGGATTCAGCAATTTTTGCCTCATGGGGAAGATTATTCCAATGCAAGGCACCACTATAACTGAAGCACCTCTTGCCGAGTTCTTTTTTCGGCATAGGTGGTGCTAAATCAGTATCCCTATTTCTAAGATTGTAAGTATTATGTCTTTCATTATTAAATTGAAATGCTTCTTTAAGATTGGGTGCGGTGTGGCCATTCAGAATTTTATAGACGAAAATTGATTTAAGATAATTTTGTCTTTCTTCTAGAGGTTTCCAATTTAGATTATTGAATAACTCAGATGACCGAATATCGTAAGATGCCCCAGTAATTACTCTTGCAGCACGATTTTGGTATTTTTGCAACTTATCTTTGAGCCCAATTCCACAATTATCCCACAACGGGCTGCAATAATCGAAATAAGGCTGTATAATAGCATTATATAGCATTTTGGTCGTCGACAGTGTTACAAAAGGTTTAACACGTCTCATTGCACCAACGCCGGCACCAACTTTAGAACAGTTTGAATCAATATGTTTATCCCAAGACAACCTTTCGTCCATAGTCACGCCGAGGCATGAATATTTATTAATCCTGGGTACTAGCTTATTATTAATTAAAATAGGATTACCAGATACTTTATTCTTAAGGTTATAATGAGATCCGATGAACATATGTTTCGATTTACTGGGGTGGATTTGAAGTTTATTGTGTATCATCCATTTGCGTATGTTTTCGAGATCAATATTTACCTTGTCGACAAGTGTAAATATGGTGTATGTTATTTAGTTTAGGTTTAGGTTAAATACCAGGCTCCTACGAGTTAGGTCATTTCACGAGTCAAGCTCGAGCCCGAGTCAAGCTCGAGCCCGAGTCAAGCACCAGTCACGAGTCAATTTCGAGTCACGAGTCAAATTTTCCAATTTTGATGCTGGTAAGTATACTTTATGAAATAGCGCATCTTACTTTATTTACATTCTCACCGTCGCTTGTTGTTAACAGTTCCACAAACCTGAATCGGCTCGGTCGCTTATCCCGCGTTGAATGATGGAAATGCGATGGATTATTCCCATATGCCTGGGCGTCCTTTTACGGCAAAGGCCTGCATGGAACCGCTATATATTTGTGGGACTGTGGACGAGCCAGTGTACAGACAAGTGAGACAACGACTATGGGAATTCTGTTTGTGAGAAATCCGGTAATTCCTAATTTGCGAGCGGGTAAGCCGACAACCGTTTGTGCAGGCTTTGCAAAGCCTATTTTTGAATATTATTGCAATATCATAATTTTTGACGTAAAGAAACGTATTACTTACTCAAATTTTAACTAAGTTAAGTTACTTTAATTAAACTTAAAATATCCGCCAAGTTGTGACGTAATTGTTGCCATAGCAACGGCAGTTGTGTTACACCAATCAGATACTCTCTGTTTTAAAACAAATAATAATTTTCCAGAAATTCATATTCACATCAGAAAATCTTTAATTTTTAATTTTTAAAAAAGTGTAGCAAGCCACTTTTAAGGCCCACACAGACCGAACGCCATTCGGCAACGCGACGCGAATTTTAAAAACAAATAAAACTGTGAACTGTTGAAAATTTTACAAGACATGTAGACCAAATAGTTAAAATTGCTTAAGTGGTTCCGAATATTTGAAAAACATAGAAAAATATTGAAGTTAGATGTCATTGAAAATTGAAAATTCGCGTCGCGTTGCCGAATCGCGTGCGGTCTGTATGGACCTTAAAAGACAAGTAGATGAAAAACTGCACGACTTCGTAACGGTTTATAATATGAGTGAAACAGATTGCAAACATATTTTTAAGAAAACCATGCTTTTACTATACCTTTACCAGAGGCCATTGTTTCAGTTTCATATATATAACCCGCTCACAGGCAAGTAACCTTCATTTTTGAGGCAAACAAGTATAACAGTTGATTTCGGAGGTGTGTCGAGGGTGTGAGAAAGCTTTTCCTGCGAAGTGTATAGGCGATTGTCAGAGGAAGTTAGACATTTTTAGCTTGACTCGAATTGGACTCGTGACTCGAGCTTAACTCGGGCTCAAGCTTGACTCGTAAAATGAATACACTAGGCTCCTACAACTCGGATATAGTTGATAACGAAGTCAAGATGGCGAATATTTGTACTTTGAAATTATGATTTTAATCGTCTTATTTGTATGTTATCGAAGCGGCGACGAGGTAAAATTGGCGACGAGGTAAAACAATACTTGTATAAGAGTTTTACAACAAAAATAAACGAAATATAGGGAAGGAAACGACAATAATAGTCTGTTTTCGAGACCTTGAAACACTTGGATTAAGATGGAAACGGTGGTTGTGTCTGGTTTCCAGAGCTGTATGTTCTGGATATATTTTCAACCCTACCAAATACAGGTGGTGTTCAAGATTCTAAGGAAGCTACTGATGCTTTGAATACATACTTTATTCCAAAAATTGATACTACATATGCTAGACATTGTTTCAGAAAATTAACACAAGCTCCAGGAGAAACAGTTCGCCAGTTTCCAGCTAGATTGAGACGAGCTGCAAAAGACTGCGGTTATGGAGATAAATCAGACAATCAAATTCGTGATGAAATTCTCTGTAAATGTTCAAGCTCGTAGGCTACATTAAAAGGAAACTGTTGGAGGAGGGTCAAGGACTTACCCTATAGAACAAATACTCGAAGTCGCTGAGAACTGTTAGAAAGTTGATTCGCAGTTTGCAACGATGTCGACAGTGAAACGAGAAGGTGCTGAAGTTGCGAATTATGTAAAAGGTAAAAAGCGTGATTGGCGTGACAGTAATAAGGAACAGAGAACTGGTCAAGATAAAAGCTGCTACAGATGTGGTAAACTTGGTCATTTCGGAAAAGGTCCCAGTTTCCCCGCGAAGGGAAAGGTCTGTCGAAAGTGTGGTTTAAAGGATCATTTCGAAGTAAGACGTAATGTAAGACGTAGCCCAAGGAAGAGAAAGGTAATAACGTCAGCTGATGCCAACAGCGTAGAAGTACGGTCAATGCGTGTGGTAAACTCAGAGGAAGAGGATCTAGTATAATCATTTATCGTGGGAAACACCAAGCCAGAAAAAGTTGAAGTTATTGTTGGAGGATGTCAATTGAATATGATCATTGATTCTGGTGCTAGCGTTAATCGTAGATAAACAAACGTGGGAATGGCTGAAGAAAAATAGAGTCATGTGTACTTCATCTCGTTCAGAAAAGAAACTCTATAGATACGCTTCACAGACACCAAAGGAGATAATCGGGACATTTAATTGTAAAATTCTCTGTTGGTGATCACGTCGTGGATGCAGAAGTCTGTGTTATTTCTGGGCGAGGAGAGTCACTCCTTGGCAAAGATACAGCTATGAAACTAGGAGTTATTAAGCTATGGAGCTATGTTAGTTATGGAGTTATGGGCGTTGACGTTGCTTCAGTCAAGTCGTGACTGCAGAGCGTTGGTGAAATGATTCAGAGAAAATACCCAGAGGTCTTTAGTGTGTTCAGTGAGCTTGATTTAAAGTGGAGGTTCCACCAGTTGGAACTAACCCCTGAATCAAAAGATATTACTACATTTTTCACTCACTGCGGATTATACAGATACAAAGGGTTACTGTTTGGTGTCAATTCTGCATCAGAGCAATACCAACACGAGATCCAGAGAGTACTTGCAGGATTGGAAGGACAGGTAAATATATCTGATGATACCATTGTGCATGTGCAAAACCAAGAGGATGACACTCGGTTAGAGAATGTTATCAAGCGACTGGGAGATTTTGTTTTAACACTCAATGTCGAAAAGTGTCAATTTAACATGAGTCGCCTGACATTTGTTGGAATGGTTTTGTCCGGAAATGGCATTAACTGCACGAAAGAGAATGTGAGTGCAGTGGTTGAAGCGAGAGAGCCAGAGTCAGCGTCAGAAATGCGAAGCTTCCTGGGTCTAGTGAATTATTGTGGTCAATTTATCCCTGACTTGGCAACCATATCAGAACCCCTAAGATGTGTAACTAAGAAAGGAGTATCATTCAATTTTGCCTCGGTGCAGAGGGAATAGTTTCAAGATTTGAAGAATCTTGATTATTTTGATAAAGATGCACCAATTCAAGCAACCTCGTACCCACGGCCTTTGCGCGGTTACAGAGTCTCTGGTACGGGAAGCAAAGGCCCTGGTAAACACTGGTCACGTGACTCCAAAAATATTGGGCATTTCGTAATAATTTAGCTTTCAATCCGGGGGGAGCGGAGCCGATTGATTTTGTCAAACATGGCAGCGCGAGGTGCGACGTTTTCGAGTTTTTATATTATTATGATAAATAAAACTTTGCTAGTGAGATTTGAGAGTGGGTATATATTAACTATGCATTCTACGAGCTTTCTTTCAACAAATTGTGGAATAGCTAACGGTAATACTTATCAAAGATCGAGGATCAAACTGAGGTAAAACTAGTAAAGTGATCTGTCCATAAAGACTTTAAATTGTCTATTTTGTATCCAGCTGCTTGTGTGCGACGTTTTATAAAGAATTTAATAAACAATGTTGATCATAAGTAATTTTTATGTATTGACCAAAGAATATCACTTGGGCTTATTTATTGTACTTTTATGGAAGGATAAATACTCAGTAATATGTGCCTGTATAGTCCAAGGGACATCTATGGAAAGGAAATTCTTCATGTTTAAACATGTAGTTATCAAAGCAGAATATTTTGAAACAATTAATTAACTGGTGGAGTGACAGGTTGGTTTTCGTATGTATGTAGTTTAAAATACAGTTGTGAATAAAATTATACACAGTTTCATGCAAATGACACCTTTTGTGTGTAAGTTAATTTCATATTTATTTTTTGGGATGTTTATTTCTGTTTGTCTGGAAAGGGGGGGGGGGGAGTACCATTCCTGAATCATGAGAAATAATATACAGTGATCTTGAAACATGAAAAATAATAGGAAAGAAGCCCTGAAGCACATGTATAAAATATCAAATTTATTAGGAATCTGATATCAGTGAGATGTGACTCCGGAGTCTTAAAGACAAATAACAGTCTGTATACTGGGTGTGCGACTGTGCGTTCACCTATTTGTTTACATTTGCAGTTACATCAGTTCATGATTTATGAAATTTGAACCAAAACTGTAACAATTTTAGTGACGGCACAAGTCACTAATAATTTTAGGGTAAATACTTCATTTGTCAGTTGCATCTTATAGTATATACTGTATTAATATTTTTAAAAAAAGTTGTAATTGTACCCTGTCTAATATCTTTGGTTCAATACAATTGGCGACTGGTCTGTCTTAGAATTCATGAAAGACCTTAAAGTTTGCTAAAACCTCAAGAAAACATGCCTTTTATCAGGAGATCAATTAAATTTTCTGCTTCAACCAGATTAACCACACAAATGTTATTGTCACCATTGTGACTACCGACACTTTTTACAAATATTACACCGATAGTTGAGACTCTGACTGACATATCATACCGTGTTTTCAAATATCTTTGGCTTTGGTTAAAAACCAACATCCTTAAACATTTTAAATACTTCAGCCTACAGAATTTCCATAATGATGGTCAATTATTCCACTCCCTGAGAATACTATAATTACTTCTTTCCCATAAAAATTCTTTTGGGTTTAATTGAAATATTATTATTCACAGCTGGTCTAAAAAATTAGGACTAACATTGGGTGGTTTGATGCATCATACTTTTGTCAGTAAAATTAAAAATCTATTCAATCCTTTCCATATCTATTCAATCCAATCCTATTTGTATTAAGGAGGTAGGGCTTAACAGAGATACACAGAGGCTTAATAAATATGGTTACACTAAATTTTATCAGTTTGTAAATTTCATTTTTTACATTCTGAAACCAAAAATCACCATATTACGCATGAATTACATATCACAGTTGTCACAGAGTGAACATACCAAATTTAAACAACATTCACATGCATTGTTTCTAGATGAAATATCAACAGATTTTTTGTGCAAACAATGTAATTCATGAGGTGAAAAATGAGTGTTTATATGATATGTGTGCACAGAGTTTCAAGACCAGCTAGCGGGGCTGAAACCAGTTTTCCCAGTTATGCTTAGAGCTGATGAGAACATAACATTAGTTTTAACACAAAATGGCAATTTACCCAGCCCATGGCAATATCACACAATATACAAAAATGCACCCAGGTTCTTCCTTCTCACCAGCACAATTGATCAAGTCATACACATTCATTACTGCCAATCTCTTTAATATTTATGTCTCATTTACAATTGCTATGTACAAGTACAATATATTTTCATTATCAGCAGTATTATCACAACATCTATTTCACTAGCATCATCATCATCATCATTATTCTCACCATTCTAATTGAATGAATGAATCAAAAATTTCCTATCACACCACTCATATTACTTAATTGCCCAAGGTCGGGCCATTTCACAGCACTCCAGGATCTGAATACCTGCAACCACCTTTTTAATCTAATAAGATAAGAGAAACGAATGACAAATGTTTTTCTGGCACACTGGAACATCATTGCCATAAAATAAATGTCATTTGAACCCTCATTTTGCTCTGCTCAATTAGGTTGCAAGGTAAATAATAGGGATGTAGTAAGTTAAGCCAGTATTACTGATAATTGTCTCTTTACATTTTGCTCACAACCAAACTCCAATTATATGGAGCAAGTATAGAATATCCAGCCACTTTTTATTATTCACTTTTAAAACCTTACCCTTGACAAGTAAACTTATCTGGTGTTGGACAGAGAAAAATAACAAAGTACGCCATATTTGATTATCCCATTAGTGTGCAAGACTCTCCCTTGGATGGGTAGAATTGGGGGTTATGGAGATTTACTGGCAAGAGGTGGGGGAAACATTTCCTCCAGTAAAATTTACGGGGGCCATTGGAATTTTTTTAAACATCAAAATCATCAACCAGAGTATTGAGGCGATAAAGAAAAGAAAAGAAAAGAAACGAAAAGAAAAGAATGCCTGACTGTTCTGTAAAATTAATGTAATTTGATTTTCTTGTCGGAGAAAGTTAGGTAAGGTTGGCATTTTCACACTTTTCTATTATCATCGTACTATTCTGTTAAGTTTTTATTGAATGAGTCAGAGACTAATAGATTGGTATGAGGACAGTTAATTTGTAATAATTTTTGCATGTATTCATTTATTAACTTTTGACTACTGTATAAATGGTCAGCCAGTTTTAAAAATAAGTATTTTACTGAGGGTACTGCCTGTCCTGATGATTTTACATGTCAAAGAGAACTCCAGTTATGAAATAAGAAAGATTGAATATTTTCTGAGCATGTTGGAACAGAAGATGTTGATTTTAGTGAAGGATGGAGAGAACCAAAAAATATATCAGGCATGAAGGAGGGTAATATATATCCAAAAGCGAAAGATGGAGGAATAATTAGACGAAGAAAACTAATTATACAAACAGACAGCCACGAATCTGCTGGAATTTAGGATATGTAAACTGATAAATATGTGAGAATATATAAATTTTATAAATTGCACCGCTTACCCAAAATCCATGTGACTTCAAAGTTTATAATTTCCATCAAAATAAAAGCAAGCTTAAAATCTGCTGCCAGTTGTTTTAAAATATGGTTATAAAACACTTGTTATACCTTCATACTTTATAAATCAAAGGCAGACCAAGGAAAAATCATGTATAAATGTGTTTTTTAAATGTTATAGTTCGCCCATTGTTCAGTTTTTCATCCCCCCGGGATGACATGACCTTAATAAGGCCAGGTTACAAAACTGTCCAATATTTTTGGAGTCACGTGACTAGTGTTTACCAGGGCCTTTGCTTCCCGTACCAGAGCCTCTGAAGCGCGCAAAGGCCCTGGGTACGAGGTTGCAACTCAAGTAGTTTCTGGTGCGAGTCCTGTTGGGTTAGGAGCGGTGTTGACTTAGACTCATAAAGATGGTCCACGAGTTATCAGCTACGCAAGTCGCAGCATTACTGAAACCGAAAAGAGATACTCGCAGACAGAGAAGGAAGCCTTGGCTTTGGTATGGGCTTACGAGAAGTTCCACCCGTATGTATATGGGATTTCGTTTGAATTGATCACAGACCACAAGCCATTAGAGGTCATTTATGGGCCAAGATCAAAGCCTTGTGCACGTTTTGAACGGTGGGTACTGCGAATTCACACACATTTAAAGTGAAGTATGTTCCAGGATCGAAGAATATTGCTGACCCGTTGTCAAAATTAATACATGGCCGTCAAACCACCAGGGAATATGAAACAGAGGCTGAAAGTTATGTACGGTTCGTGGCAGTGACAGCAACGCCTAACTCAATGACAACTCGAGAAGTAGAAGTCTCTGCAGATGACGAAGAACTCACGGCGGTAAGAAAGGCTATTAACGACAGTTCATGGGATAAGATGGTCTACAAACAATACATCCCGTGTTGTGACGAGTTCTGTGTAGTTGGTCAACTAGTGCTCGGAGGAACAAGAGTGATTATTCCAAAGAAGTTAAGACCCAAAGTGCTAAGTTTGGCTCACGAGGGGTATCTTCGTGTTGCTTCGAAGTAAAGTTTGGTGGCCAGGACTGGAAAAGGATGCAGAGAAGTATTGTAAAGCGTGCTATGCATGGGTGCCAATTAGTTAGTCGTCCTGACGTCGTAGAGCCCATTATAACGACTACAGTACCCTTCCTATAGTGGCCCATGGAGAGATTTAGCATTTGACCTGTTAGGACCACTGATCTGAAATAAGACTGGATAACGCATCTATAGTATACAAAAGTGAAGCCGGAAGTCACCGGCCGCCACCCGATTCTGGGGCCCCACTTTTGTATAGATTTGTATTACAGACGGTAGTTTTTCGCCTTTTTTGCCTTTGCTACGTTTCCGATCGGGCCAATTTTACAATCACAACGATAGAAGCATACAAGAAGAATTTTGAACTATATTAGTAGCAGTATTATGGCTTTATAACGCCGCGAAACGGGATTTACAACTCTGAAGGAGTGGAGAGCCTCAGACTTTGTTTATCAACACGAGCTCGTTTTGCTACTTTCATACAAAATCAACTCGAAATATACAAGAATTATTGTTACTGGACGAATATTCTCACGAAATTTGAAGAAATAAAGCAGCTACATTGTGAACGAACGCGTACAGAGGTTAGTTTTAAATTACCTTGAGGCTACTTCCATAATTACATAATTAAAATAACATATTGAGTCGTTGTTTATAATTTGGATTAAAAATATTTCATTGTCACTTGTCTCCCTACTTTAAAACATATAAAACTTCTCGACAAGTCGCCTAGGAATGCTTTTGACAAAATTGATATTTAAAACTATTCCTTATTAAATTCGTATAATTATAAAAGTAGCCTCAAGGTATTTTAAAACTAACCTCAGTACGCTTTCGTTCACAATGCAGCTGCTTCATTTCTTCAAGTTTCCTGAGAATATTCGTGCAGTAAACAGTAATTCTTGAATATTTTAAGTTGATTTTGTATGAAAGTAGCAACGAGCTCGTGTTGATAAACAAAGTCTAACCTCTGTACGCTTTCGTTCACAATATAGCTGCTTCGTTTCTTCAAATTTCGTGAGAATATTCGTCCAGTAACAATAATTCTTGTATATTCTGAGTTGATTTTGTATGAAAGTAGCGAAACGAGCTCGTGCTGATAAACAAAGTCTGAGGCTCTCCACTCCTTCAGAGTTATAAATCCCGTTTCGCGGCGTTATAAAGCCATAATACTCCAAATTTTTTGCTCAAACTTCTTCTTGTATGCTTCTATCTTTGTGATTGTGAAATTGGCCCGATCGGAAACGTAGCCAAGGCAAAAAACGCGAAAACCTACCGTCTGTAATACAAATCTATACAAAAGTGGGGCCCCAGAATCGGGTGGCGACCGGTGACTTCCGGCTTCACTTTTGTATACTATAGATGCGTTATCCAGTCTTATTTCAGATCAATGGTTAGGACCTTTACCTACGGGAGAGTCGATACTGGTTGTTATCGACTATTACAGCCGTTACTATGAAGTTGTTATCATGAAATCAACCCTTACTGCTAAGGTCATTGAAAATCTTGAAGAAATATTCTTTAGACATGGTCTTCCCGAAAGTTTGACGTCTGATAATGGACCTCAATTCATTTTCACAGAATTTTCAGCTTATATGGATTATCAAGGAATTCGACACAGAAGAGTAACTGCAAAGTGGCCTCAAGCGAACGGCGAGGTCGAACGACAGAACCGGTCATTGTTAAAGAGAATCCAAATCGCACAAACAGAGAAGAAAGATTGGAAGAAGGAATTATGTAAAGGAAGGTAAGATGTATGCTGGCGAAAGACGAAATGCCCAGTACTCGGATATTCTTCCTGGTGATAAAGTATTGGCACAGCAAGAGAGGCAGAACAAGTTCTCATCCCGATTCAACCTGTTCCATTTACCGTGGTGAAGATTCGTTGCAAGATTCGTTGCAAGATCCAGTGCCAAAGCAAGAAGAAACAATACGTGAAGAAATACCACATCATACCACACATACAATTCGTGAAGAACTACAACTTCATAAAGACGAAAGAGTTTCAAATGAAGGAGAGACAATCGGACAGGCGAGCAGCTCTCTTAAGAAAAACATTCCATTAAGACGATCAGAAGGGATAAAAAAAACCAAGCTATTTGAACGATTATGCTTGCACATTTACTTAATTCGGACACTTCTATTTCTAGTTATATTACATAGTATTTAGGTCCTAGTAAATAAGTATATTTGCGATCATTAATTTTTTAGGATAATCTTAAAAGGAAAAAGAAGAACAAAGACGTAATTAAAGTGTTTTGTTATAGGAACTATATATATAAACTTTGTTTCTGGATGTATGTGTTTAGTACCTTTTGGCATATGTTATTTAGTTTAGATTTATGTTAAATGCCAGGCTCCTTAGCTCCTACGCTCGGATATTATTGATAACGAAGCCAAAATGGCGAATGTTTGTACTTTGAAATTATGATTTTAATATATAAACAATCCGTGTTACTTGTATGTTGTTGATTGTGGTGCATACTCCCATTTTTTTTTCAAAACAAGCATAAATTTGTGACGTTCTAGAGAGGACGTGAAAACACCTTGAATGCCGTCCTAAACACAACGTGAACGACGTCCTAGACTAATCCGGACGTAAAATCCCACATCCCTGGCTATTTTCACGTCCTCGTCGACGTCGCGTTCTGTTTGCTAAAGCAGTCTAATAGCTCATGTACGACTTGAGCTCATGGTATAATTGTTGAATATCGTGCAGCAGATGATGGTCAACCAGCAATTATTTGTTATGATATGGATGGAAATCAAATTATTGCTTGCGTCTGCAGATTCCATTCCCGTGCACAGAAAGCGAGTATATATAGCTGGAGTATATATAGTAAATATATGATAACTTGAAACAGTATAGTGTTTTCCCACATTGTGTTTGCCATGCATTTTATGCGGCATGGCTGTTTATGCATGCAAATGCGCAATCTGTTAGTATAGGTGGGTTTCGCTAAGTGTTATACATGGTGATAGTCAATGCAACCAAACAGAAAATAACCGAAACACAACTATGCGGGTTCCTTTTTCCTGAGCCAACGGCGCGAAGCGCCGTTCCGGGCGGAAGCCCGGGGCGAGGGTACTCATTCCGTCCAGCTATTTACACACGGGGAAAGGAACACACTAGCGAAGTCTAAAGTTCGTCAAATATCGCGGGCGCATGGTGTATGGGTGGTCATCTCACTGATCTCAAAATATGGCTGCTTGCCAGGAGTGAAGAAGGGGAAAATATAAATAATACATGTAGGAAAGCTTGGGAAATCGTTTCACATAACAAATTGCAAAACATTTTTTCAATTTTTAAACGTAAATATTGAATCGATAAGAATTGATTTAGTTTGAGAAATCCTAAAGTATAGCCTGGCAAGTTTGTTTCAATGGTTTATGTATGACTTTTCATTATTATAGACTTTGTTTTTGTTAAAATCTTTCTATGCATTGTATGCGAAAGTTTCTTTGTTAAATTAACGTTTGTAGAAGTTCATGATAAAAAGGAAAGCAAATTATTTCATTAGCGTCCTGTATGAATTAAATTTATTTCATTTCAAAGTGCGAGTAATTTAAGTCCGTTTAATATCGGCAAAAAACAGTTGATTTCAATTTACATTTAAAAACGTTTTATCTAGAGTATCATTTTGAATTTTACATTAAAATAAAGCCAACACACAATCCAAAATAATATACCTATTTATATATTTTTGAAATTGATAGTTTCGTATTTAAAAGTGTTCAAGTTTCATCTATTTTTTGCAGGTTTGTACAAAAAATTTTAAAAAAAATTATCGTGTTGCCATGACTAACATGACGTGAGCAACGCGGGCCTGCGTTCAGTGTTGGCGTAACTACGAATACTTCATGTTGAAACAATGCTTGGGGAATATAGGCGAGGGGTTGTTGCATGCATGTATTTCTAGTCTACAAATAGTACACCGTTATTGTGACTTTGGGGCTTTTAGTACTGTTTAATAAACAAGCAGGAGTGTTAAACCTAATAAAACACGACCTGCTAGTTTATTAATAGATATACTGCCTTAGTTATTAGTATTCTTTATATAAAGAATACTAATGAGGACACGACTACAATAGATACCGCCTTATTAGTATTCTTTATATGAAGAATACTAATTAGGAGTGTTTTATCAGGTTTAAAGCCACTTCACGTGACATATTACGGTTGACATGATTTGCTTTATGATTTGCTTTATGATTTGAAGTACTAGTTAAAATATGAGCAGCTGATCTTTACCGTATTTACAATGGCGAGCGCGCAAAACGTACTTGTAAAATGAATTTATTTGCTTACTTTATTAGTATTCTCTGTCCATGGGGACAATCTCACGCTTCATTAGCTACTAAAACTTAAATTAGTATGGTTAACTTTCATAAACATCCATGCTTCTCAATTAGTATTGCTAACTTTCATAAACATCCCTCTAACACGACTTTCTGATCTTTAATGCGGTTTATACAAGTGTGCACGTGTGACCTAAATACCGCATCGTGATTTGTTTGTATAGGTAATCATGCGATGGCGAGTACAATTATACCCTGGTTGCCAGAGGTTCTGTATCTTTCGCCTTATTCCCGCTCGTATTTATTTTACGCGAGGCGAAGAGAACCTCTGGTGGCACGCGATACAAATCTCTCTTCCTTTGGTACAAAATTTGTACCAAGCACATGATTGGTTAGTTATATAATTAGCAGTCACATGAAGTGATGTGATTGGCTACACAAAAGAACCTGTTTATAAATCTGAGAGAACATGATGTAAACAAAGTACAGAAATAATACGAACGTATTAAATTTAAAATGCTTACTCAGTGTGGGTTATTTGAGATTAACTTAGTTTGTTCCGCTATAAAAATATTTTCTGCGCTGGAGAAGAGCTGACATCGCGGCATGACTTGAGAGTCGACGACATGACATGTTCACTCTATGCAGTAGTAATATTTGTAAAATATGAAGTGTTGGTCACTTGCTTATCGTTCAAGGTTTTAAATTTTGGTAATTCGTTGACTTTAATAGTTATTAATATGGTTTATTTTGCCAATATTTTTCTGTTGTCTGTTTATAAGGACAACTATACTGGCTCCGTTGCACACATATGTATAAATATTTATATGTTTATATTCTTTCACTTTTGACTTTATATGTTCGCTAATACAAACGGCAATCCACAATCAGTGAGGTTGTTTTTTGCCTTGTGCGTTGCGAGAATAGTCTATATGTTTCTAATAAATAATCTACATGTTTGGCCTGCTTATTTTAAATATTTTACACAAGGCTGCCAAACAGTCTGAAGAGAGCTATTTTGGTAGTATGACAAACCCGGAAGTTTACAAACGTCACAAAATATAAAGCCGGTTTTGCAAGTTCTCAAACAGCAACGTCAGCATGGAAGAGAGATTTGTATCGCGTGCCACCAGAGGTTCTCTTCGCCTCGCGTACAATAAATACGAGCGGGAATAAAGGCCCTGTTACACGGTGCAATTTTTCATGCAACTTGTCTCGCAATGGCGTTGCAAATACAAACCGCTGCATTTTTAAGTCAAACGAGATGGAGTCTGAGGCGCTAGATACGAGCTAACGCAGCTTGAAATTACGGTCCAGAGAACAGAGTTTGTGTTGACTCATAGTTCTGCACGACGAGAACAAATCAAACGGCACTTAGAAGCATTGAAAGCGATTTCGCGTGAAACTGACGAATGTAAACGAGCCGTAGAACTCAAGAAAATCGCAAATAAGGAAGAGTTATCCGAGATAAACATATGGCATGACGAAATTGACGAGAAATTAAATAAAGCCGATATTGAAATAAGTCGTCTCGAAGGGTGGCTCAACGACAAGGAGAAACATGAGAAATTTTCTGCACAAGAAGACCAGCTGAAATTCGAACTAAAGCTACACGAAACAAAGTTGAAGTTACAAACAGAACTGACAACAAATTCATCGCCAGACACGTCCAATACGACTACAATCACAGTGTCTGAGAAAACCGCAAAGCTTCCAAAGGTGGTAATCTCAAAATTTAACGGATCTTATATGGATTGGCCCAGATTTTGGGGACAGTTTTCCGAAGCCGTAGACAAGAGTACCATAGCCCCTATAAGCAAGTTTACGTATTTGTGTGAATTACTTGAGCCCAGTGTGAAACGTGTAGTCGAAGCCCTTCCGTTCACTCCCGAGGGATATAACAGAGCAAAGTCCATATT